AGAGGGAGGAAACCCATGAGAAGAAAGGCTGTTTAATCAGGAAGGAGGGTGGTAAGAAAGGTCCAAATACGTTCAAACTTCAAAGAGAGCTGAAGGTAGTAGGACAGAATAGACAATGTTGGGATAGAAGATAGGACGAGGGGAAGAAGGGACAATAAGGGGTTGGTTAATAGATAGTGATTTAGGACACTAGGCTCTAAACCTAAGGGACCTAAGGAAACTACTTGCACAGGTCACATCATAAGCGAAACTGGCTAACTCCGGGTCGAATTGTGAGTACAGGCCCTAGACTCAGACTGTACGGGGAACTCACAATTCGACCCAGGTCACATCATAAGCGAAACTGGCGCAATTTTATTTTTTTTTCTTCTTAAGAGAAAGGCAAGTCATTTCAATAGAAGATTGAAAATCGATGCCGGATAACTCCGGGTTGAATTGTGAGTTCCCCGGCCTCGATTTTCAATCTTCTAAGGAAATGGCTCGCCTTTCTCTTAAGGAAAAATAAAAATAAAAATTGCGCACAACCTACCAAGGGGTGTGGCAATCTACCGGGCGAGAGGGGGGGGAGGAGGCAGGGGGGTATCAGGGCTTAGCCACAAAACATCTCAACTTTACACCCTCTCTATCTCGACACCATAGACTCTTGACTGTGACGAAGACCGGCTTCCCCGATACAGCAGAGACGTCAGCACACACTGGGTCAAGCAAAGCATGGTTGACTTCTGTTAGTGCATGATCACGGAGCTCCGGCATGTCAGTTGTGCGGTGCAGTTGATGAAAAATCCACAGACTGACTTCGAAAAGCAATCATCAGCCGCATCATCACTTTGGCAACAGAGGAGAGTAAAAGGAGTAGCAAGAGAATAGAAGGGGAGTAGAGATGGAGAAAGAGAAGAAAAGAACATACGCAAATACGTAAAAAATCCGAACGCGACGTTAATTAAAAATATAGCTATGAAAACCAGCGGTATGACCCGACTAGTTTCGGCTGGCCCGCTAACCAGCCTTCATCAGGGGTCTTCAGTTGTTGTGTTGTGTGCGAGTTGGTTAGGTATATAGGTGGTAAGAATCTGGTCTAGTGTTTTCTCTAATGGACCAGTAACGGTCAACCAAAAAAAAAAGTAGTACTAATGAGCCAGACCAGTTCATATTTTGGTTACCTGAGGCTCGTGGCAAAGCCGAAATGGCACCAACGGGCCTAGCTCAGTTGGGGCACCCATGAACTCTTGAAATACAGACCCAAGCTGAAGTCCAGACGTAATCAGATGAACAGAACAAAATCATTCTGAATCCAGGCTACCAGAGTGGCCCGGGTCCACTTGCCCGGCCGGGCCGAAAAGATATTAAAAAATAAAAAATATATTTTTCTAATTAAAATTTTTGTTTCAAATTTGGTAAAGAATTTCGATGTGACCCTGAGGCAAAAGTTGTTCAGTTTATTTTTCTGCATAACATAGGTTTTTTTCGGATTTTTTGGATTCTTTTTTTTTTTTTTTGGCTTGGACCTTCCCTAGTCCTTGCACGGCCGAGCCGCCCGGAAAAATGGGGTGACCCGGGCGGTCCGGCTGGTAGCCTAGTTCTGAATTACCTGAGGCCGGTCAGTTCAATGATGAAATCTAAGGGCCGTTGAAAAAAGGGGGGAAACAATAACAAAAAAAAAAAAGGTGGAAAAGGGAAATAGGAAAAAGGAAAACAAAGGAAAAACAACGCCTGAAAAACCCTTCAACAAAGGCAGAAACAATGTACTGCCTAACTAGCTTTCCAGCCCGGGCGTCCAGGGAACCCCACCGTGCGCAGAATGGCGCCCGGGGCGCCCGGCCAGGCTACCCCCCCAAGCAGGCACCCGGGCGCCTCTCGCACCGAGGCAGAAAAAGCCTCAAAAAAAGTTTCGCGCCGCCGCCATATTCCGAATGTGCCACCTTCTTTTTTGGCGGTCGGCACATTTTGGGGGGGGGTCCAGCCCGTTTGTAGGGCTTTTTTTTTTTTTGGATTCTGGCAGTCAATCTGCATCGATCGACAGCGCGCACTGATCCAATTTGAATCCTGGGCTCCTCCTTTGTTTCTTCTTCTTCTTGTTCTTCTTCTTCTTCTTCTTTTCCCCCCCAAAAATAGCTTGGCACCACATAACCCGGAAGACCTCCAAAGGTGGGTTGGGGATAATCGACCCCAAACAAGAAACAAAAGCCCTACAGATAAAATGGATAGTCAAATTACTAACCCAACCAAGAGTGGCATGGCACAAACTAGCCCTAGACAGCATCAGAGCCTTAGCTCCAGTTCAAACTCCTGCCAATATGTTGGGCTTGTTCTGGGTAATGAATAAGGACTGGACCCCGAAAACCGGTAGGAGAAGACGACGACCTAACCCACAACGGAACGAAGCCCAACTGTCAACACCCTACTGGACAGCCCTTATCGTAATTTGGAGAGGACTTCAGCCGAACAAAGTAAAGAAACCCAAATCGAAAGAAGAAGTACTTCATCAGCTCCTATTCGGGAATCAATATGTGAGGGATGCAGGGGATCTCCCTCTGTCGCTAGCAAAGGGCCAAAGCTGGCTTTCGTGGGTCCGACATGGAGTACGGAGGGTAGAGCACATCTGGGACCAAGCGAAGAAGGACTGGATTGATGAAGAACAACTGAGACATCTGCTAAAGGGTTGCGGTAATCGGCATAACAATCTGACAACGGTCGTGGACAGCATCCCCGATGGGTGGAAAGAACTACTAAAGAAAAAATTTCATGGAAATCAGGAGAATGGGGGGTGCTGATCCAGGATTCCGCACCCGAGAAAGCATACCAGTTTCACCGCAGATGCCCGGGCTCAGACCTCTCAGGAGTATTCATGTCTTTTCCCATAAGCCGGTCCAATCCCAACTCGTTCTCCATCCACAATATTGACCCTCAGGAAACTTTCTTTTTTTGTTTTCCCCCTCTTTCTGCGTTTCTTCTTTTCCTTCTTCTTCGTCTTCGCCTCCCTCCTCCCTCCTCTGACGTCGCGCTCCTCCCTCCTCGCGCCCCCCTCCTCGCACCCCCTCCATCACCTCGCCCCCTCCCTCCTCCCTTCTCCCTCCTCCCTCCCTCCTCTGACGTGATGCTCCTCCATCCTCTCTCCCTCCTCTGACGTGGCACTTCTCCCTCCTCCCTCTGAATTGACACTCCTTCGTCCTCCCTCCTCCCTCTGACGTGGCGCTCCACCACAGGTGGGACACAGCAGCTGCTGTACCCCCCACGCCGCAAACGGGCAGTCGATACTCCAGACCACTTCTACAAGCCCCCCTCCCCACAACATACAGAAATCGACATGCATGAAAATAAAATCAGAGGCCGGATTTGGGCACTACTCCCAAAGCCTAGCAAGGTCTGGCAGCCAAAAAAAAAAAAAAAAAAAAGCTCAGTGGTTTTTTTGCGTGCCCGGGGCACCCCGTGCGTGGTGCCTGGGGCGCCCGCCCAGCCATCCCGGGAAAGCTAGCTGCCTAGTACCTACTACCTACAGTGCATACCATTTAAAGACAAAAGAAAAAAGTCCAAAACAAACTAATCGATGGAAAAAGACAATGCCTGGAAACCCTTTCATTGCAGGCGGAAAGAATGCACCAGCTACCACTATTCATTCGCAAAAGAGAAAGTTTAAAAAACACATCGACAGTTGTTCAGGACATCCGTTAAAATTGGAACGATACAGAGAAGATTAGCATGGCCCCTGTGCAAGGATGACACGCATAAACCGAGAAATGGTCCAAATTTCACTTAGGAAACAAACAGAAAAAAAAAAGGTAACCACCACAACAGCAGGTGTCAAATTATTATTATTAATATATTACCCAGAAAAAAAAAAAAAAAAACCAACAACAACAACAACAGGTATCCCTACCTACCATACAACAATAGGTTCTCCAGCTTTATATGCTCTGTCAACTTGCAGCTGTACAAAGTCTCCATCTGCCCGAAGCATGGCCTTGGAGTCGCTTCTATATGAAAGAAGCGGCGGCCCAAGAGGTACCAGTGCAAATCGCCTAGCCAAGTTAACGCCCTGTTCATAGTATACAAAGAGAGAAAGAGAGAGAGACAGAGACACAGAGAGAGAGAGAGAGAGAGAGAGAAAGATTCAGTCCACAAGCGCATTCTACCCGTTCTGTCGCACACACTCCTACAGCACACGTACGTTTTCGCACCCCTACCGTCCTTTTTCCCCCGTCCTCCCCCCCCCCCCCCCCCCCCCCCCCCGAAAAAAAAAAACCTCTCTACCCAATTCATGGGTGCTCTGACACCCCCATCCCAGACCCTTCCCCGGGGCCTTCTCTCCCAGCCATGTAGCGACACATTGCAGTTCTGCAATGATCCCATGTTGCATCATCAGACCAACCCTGCCTGCACAAGAACACATGCTTAGAACCCACCATGTGATCGCATCACACAAACATCAAGAGTGTTTTTTTTAACTTTTAACGAATCAAATTATCAATTCAGAACTCAGAAGACACCACAACATACACACACCAGCCAGATTTGGTTCTTTATGCATTCCAAAATTCTAAATACTAATCTTTCATCCGTTCACGAATCATTTTCTGTGCAGCAGAAATCTTCAGAGTCAAACAACAGTTGAAACTTCAAACATTTGAAGGGGGAAAAAAACAAAAAGACATTAAGCATTCCAGATTTGGTTAAGTCCCTCGGGACATCTGCTAAAATTAGAACAACACACAGAAGATCAGCATGGCTCCTGTCACCCTGTCCAAGGATGACACACATAAATCGAGAAATGAGCCAAACTTCAGATATATATGAAAAAAAATCAAAACAAAACAAAACAGTCGTCAAATATAGCTCATCTTGTAAAATAGTGAAAAAAAGGAGGAGGATGGAGTCATGTACAGGAACGAAGAGGAAGAACGAGTGTGGAAGAAGGAGAAGAAGAAGAAGAAGAAGCGCATCACCTGAAGATGCACAACGCATGATTGAACTGCAACAAACGCCTGCCGAAAGATCTCGAAAGGAAAAGCCTCCGTTGGTATGTCGAATGGATATTTCTGAATGCCACAATCCACCGAAACACAGTTGTAATCAGTTCTTTGAAAAAAAAAACAGAAAAAAAAAAAAAATTGTTATCGGTTCTCGTGAACTTCTCATTCTTCATCAGTCTCCAAGCCTTATCAGTTCCCCACCCTCAGATTTTTCCTTCTTTTTTTTTTGTTTTGTTTTTCCAAATACTCACTGCCACTCTTTGCTTCGCAGCGGGCAAGCGTAGGAGATGGCCAAGAATTCAGGACAGCATCAGACGAGTCGGCCAAGAAGGAACAGTGCTGCCCAAACCTTGAGATAGGTCCAGGAGGAGTGCCCAAACCAGTTTTCAACAGCTCATCCGATTGCTAGGAACATCCACCTCACCACAGTGCAACAAATTCGGGAAATAGGGAGAAAGTGTTGCAAATCAGGAACTGGAATAAAGGGAAGGGGTGAGGGGAAGATGGGGAAAGGGGCGAGGGGGGGAGGGGGGAGGAGGTAGGGGGAGGGGGAATATGAGAGGGGGAGAGAAAAGGGGCGAGGGGGCAGGAGAGTAGGGCGCAACGAGGGTTCATTGCCCTGTGGGACAGGGAGTCCGGGGCAAATAGCCTAAGAAAAAGAGGGGAATCAAGCTTGAGATATTTCAAATTCCGTCTGCTTTCAGAAAAGAAAAAAGAAAAACGAGTCGAAATTAAACACAGGGTGGTGGACCCCAATGACAGCCTGCTGGGAAGACACAGCCTGACATAACTTCTAATGAAGCCGACACTTACTCCGAAGTCTCCTCACCTTGAAAAGAGACCCTGCCATGAACCAAACAGTGTCGAGCTCCTGATATTCTCGTTTGATGCCCTCCAATCGTTCTGCGAAAATGTGCTGAGAAAAAGAGAAGCCACGACAAGACAGGATAATGTCAGATGAACGATAAGAGAGGGGAGGGGAGAGGGGACAGGGGACAGAGGAGAGGGGAAAGGGGAGAGGGGACAGGGGACAGAGGAGAGGGGACAGGGGAGAGGGGAGACCGTAGAGGGGAGAGGGCAGAGGAGAGAGGGGAGAGGAAGTGTTGGGCATCATCACACCGTAAAAGAAACCCTCAGTAAATACAAGCATCCACTCAAACAACGAAATCACAGGTAGCAACAAGTGATCAACGCATGAAGGACCTCTTCTCTCTCTCTCTCTCTCTCTCTCTCTCTCTCTCTCTCTCTCTCTCTCTCTCTCTCTCTCTCTCTCTCTCTCTCTCTNTCTCTCTCTCTCTGTGTGTGTGTGTGTGTGTGTGTGTGTGTGTGTGTGTGTGTGTGTGTGTGTGTGTGTGTGCGTGTGTGTGTGTGTGTGCGTGTGTGTGTGTGTGCGTGTGTGTGTGTGTGCGTGTGTCTGCTCGTTGTCTGTGAGTGGTGTGCATGTGTGTTCCAAACAATCACCACTGCAACCCCTTTTCTAACACACACACACACACACACACACACACACACACACACACACACACACACACACAGGTGTTCTGAGGTGAATGTAGATGAAAGGGAAATCCAAGATAACACACAGGTGGGCAAATTTGTCTAGTTACCCTGGTTGGACTGCCTGCGAAGTACTCGTTGAGTTCAGTCCGGGACCATAGGAGCGGAGACTCTACTGCAAGCTGACCTCTTCCTCTTTGACGATCTAGCTCTCTGATATAGGGATACCAGAAAGACTCCTTGCCTCTCTTCTTTTCGTACATAAGATAGAGAGCCAGGCACGCAAGTTCCGACAACTTATTTGTCGTGAGCAGCTCCGCTGTTCCACATTACCATCATCAAAACCAGACACAAATCAAATCAAATCGCATCAAACCAAATCGACGAAACAAGAGAAGAAACCAACAGCTTCAGAGAAGACACAGATAACACCACCTCAAGGAAACAAACAGCCTTTTTTTTTTTTGACAAAACAGATTCAGAATCGGCTGAGCGTACCCAGGACTCGTCCATAATTCCATATTAGTTCCCGTCGACTCCATGAAACAAACTATAATGAAATCACAAAGTGTCCTAGTCGTACAAGCTACACAACGACCAAAGTTTCGTAAAATGAAATCACAGAGTGTCCGAGTCGTACAAGCTACAGAACGAGCAAAGTTCCAAACACACCTGGGCACAATAAAATCAGCCATCCACCACTCTCTACATCAATAAGCTTAAAAGAAAATCAAGAACGCAATGACAATTAAAAAGAAGAGGGGATCTGCGGTTGGCCGGGAAGGGGGAAAACACAAAAGAGCAGCGATCGCAAGATAGACAGAGAGAAGAAAGCTGCGATGATGTTTCTCCTCCTTCCTTGACCACAACATCGTCTGACAATTCACTGTCCCCTCATCAATTTGCTGAATGTTTTTCTTTTCTACGTGCCAACAATTCCAATCCATCCTCCTTCCAGACATCCGTGCAAAGTGGAACGATACAGACTATTACAGAGCAGATTTTTAGCATGGCCCCTGCGGACGAATGACCCGCATAAATCGAGAAATGGTGCAAGACTGCAAATTAATTGTCTTTTTTTAAGAGAAAAAAAATCCTGTGCTGTTGTGAAAAAAAAAAAAAAAAAAAAAAAAAAAGAAGGGGTGAGATCCAACAAGAGCACAGTCCAACTTGTCCCCCTTCTCTGCTCCTGCTCTCATTTGAGTTCTCCCCTCTCCATTGACAACATCCTTCGACGGAAAACAAATTGAATCAATAATACATCATTAATACATAATGAATACATAATTAATACATAACTAATACATAATTAAATTAAATTAATACATAATTAAATTAAATTAATAGTAATTTAATACATACTTAAATTAAATTAATACATAATTAAATTAAATTAATACGTACTCATCCATGCGGCAAAACACAGCATAAAAAATCGAGCCCAAAAAAAAAAAATTGCCATTGCGCCGTTTCCTGACATAACCCACCTTGGTAATGAAAGTGTACAAGCTATTTTTTTATATTCTAACGCTGTCAGGGGGGGAGGAGGGAGCCGGGGGGGAGGGAGCCGGGGGGGAGGGAGCCAGGGGGGAGGCACAAGGACGACAGTAGGTTGCCCATGCACACAGATCAGAATGCGGTATTGCCTTGTGGCGCTCTCAGCGAAGAGGCCCTGGGCCGGGGCGAGAAGGAGCGCAGGCCCGCTCAGGCCCAGACAGGCGACCCTTGGTAGTGTTCCTTGAGGCCCCGTACAGGGCATGGCCGTAGCCAGAGAACTCCAGAAGGCAGTCCCTACCAGCTGAACAGGGAGCCGGGAACGCAGTCAGGAACCCGGTAGAGAACCCCCAAACAGCCCTAGGGGGTCCCTGTCTAGGCCTGACAGGACCACTGCGGCTCTGGTATTGAAGGAACCCATTTCTGTCGGACCCCCTAGGGCCGTTTGGGGTTCTCTACCGGGTCTAGACAGCTATGGATGCCGCTGGTTGCATGCTAGGCCTGACAGGACCCCTGCGGCTCTGGTATTGACGGGAAGGCCTGGGCAGGTCCGAAAACCATCATTCCAGTAGATGTAGGACAACAATGGCAGGCTTCCAGAGCGCTAAGTCAATCAGCACTAGCAGGAGACGGCAGCACCTAGCATCCAACCAGCGGCAGCCATAGCTGCTCTGAGAGAGCAGACCGGCAGCCAGAGCTGCTCTGAGACAGAAGAGCGGCAGCCATAGCTGCTCTGAGACAGAAGAGCGGCAGCCATAGCTGCTCTGAGACAGAAGAGCGGCAGCCATAGCTGCTCTGAGACAGAACAGCGACAGCCATAGCTGCTCGGAGACAGAAGAGCGGCAGCCATAGCTACTCTGAGACAGAAGAGCAGCCCCACAGCCTTGGGCACTGAGGTGGTCGAGGAGGGTGGTGCTAGAATGGGAGATAGTTGGGAGGAAGGGGAAGTCCGCTGAGGAGGAGTTGGCGAGGGACTTGCCGGGGGGACTCCAAGTCGAGCTCCAGCGTGACATGTTGTTCGAGCAGGGATCAGTGGGAGCAGCTCAGAACTCTGCAGCGCCATTGGGGGGGGGGGGGGGRGARAAAGGGAAGCTTTTCATCTCAGCTCAAAATCCGCAGAATCATTGAAGTTCATTAAACCCCTAAGCCCAGCCTGACGGAATCTAGTTCATCGAACTTCATCCTGAACGTGCAGTTGCCCCAGATCTTGGATCTTGGGCCACGCAGGGGTTCAAAACCCGCCTGAGCCCAAATGTCCCCTCTTTTTAATTATTTCTATATTTTCTTTGCCTTCTTTTCCTTTACATATGCACACAACATTCCATTCCTTGATGTCAGGCCTACTAGTTTCGCAAATGCTCTGCTTGCACACAAGCCACCCAACCTTTACACTAGTTTCGCAAAAGCTCTGCTTGCACACTAGCCACCCAACCTTCTGTCACACAGAGAGAGATGTCATGGCAATCAAATGCAATCAAATGCAATCAAATGCAATCAAATGCAATGAATGCATTGCAATGAAATGCAATGAAATGCAATGAAATGCAATGAATGCATTGCAATGAAATGCAATGAAATGCAAGGAAATGCAAGGAAATGTAAATGCAAGGAAATGTAAATGCAAGGAAATGCAATGAAATGTAAATGCAATGCAATGAAATGCAATGAATTGAAAATGCACGCCACACAAAAAATACACAAAACGTACCAAGTGTCTCATCTCCTAGCACTCTTTCAAGGGTGACGACCAATGATAGAGGCACTCGTAACACAGTGTCGCCTGCCTGCACCCAACATAAAAAAGCACACATCCGGAGTCAGACTATGGCTAGGCCCAAAATTGCTCTCGGCCCTTGGTCCTCCCCACCTACTGTAATCCCAAAAAATTGCTCTTGGTCCTTGGTCCTCTCCCCCCCTAGCCCATCCCAAAAGTCCCTACCCAATTTGACCGTGTCGCCTGCCTGCACCCAACACCAAAAACGCACATCCCTCTCCTCCCCCCCCCCTCTCCTCCCCCAACCACCCCACCCCACAGCCAGACTATCATTTCCCATAGTCCCCCCTCCCCCCCCCGTCCTTCTTCCCCCCCCCCCCCCCCCCCCCCCCCCCCCCCCCCTAGCCCGTTCCGAAAACCCCTAAACCCAATCCAATTTGACTGGGTCCCCTGCCTGCACCAACAACACAAGCCCCACGTCCCCAGTCCGATTATCATTACCCATGGTCCCAAATTTGCGCTCGGTCCTTCTCGCCCTCCCCACCTACCGGTAGTAGGCTGTTCCAAAATCCCTTATGCAGTTTGACCGTGTCACCGTGCTACAACAACACCTCAAGCACACATGCCCAGTCAGATTATCAATACTGTCCTCTCCCGAATAGAACGCCCGGCCATTATCGCCCGTTTTATAGCTGTATTCGGGGCAACTTTCAGTCTAAATACAGCGATAATTACTAGGCACTGTAGGCAGGCAACTCTCAGTATAAAACGGGCAACTCTCAGTATNGATAATTACTAGGCACTGTAGGCAGGCAACTCTCAGTATAAAACGGGCAACTCTCAGTATTCGGGGCAACTTTCAGTCTAAATACAGCGATAATTGCCAGGGGTTCTTTCTATTCCCAGTCAGATTATCAATACTGTCCTCACCCGAATAGAACGCCCGGTCATTATCGGACATTATAATTATAGCTGCATTACGGGCAACTTCCAGTCTAAATACAGCGATATATACTACGCACTGTAGGCAGGCAACTCTCAGTATA